AGGTGGACTATTGACTGACTGCTGCGGAAAAAAGTTCGGCGGTGGCGGAGGTGGTGGTGGCAACGTTAAAGATTGTTGGGGAACTTTAGAGAAGTACTCGTCCACTGCAACTCTGACTAAATCAGGAATGTTCGTATAACTGGACTCGATTCTGGATAACCGTGCGTCGAAGTTTTCGAAGTTGTTCTTGTGGCTGTCTATTTTTGAGACAATTCTATCCAGACTAAACATTATTTTCATCAATATCGGATTTTCTCCAATATCATCATTACCTTCCTTCTCGTAAGCACCCTTTCCCTCCACAGCAACTTCATCCTCTTGGAAGCTGCTCACTTTCTTCTGCTTCTTAATGGGTGGCTCAGCCTTTGACGAAACACCAAAAACCTTTTTGTTTGTTTGTTTGTGTTTCATCTGTGTTCCCCAAAAACCTCTAACAAACCGACCTTTATATATGTCTGTTATCAAGTTAACGAGTTGCGGGTCAGCTGCTTCATCCAGCCACTGAGGAAACATCTCTTCTACGGAGTCCTTCATAACCATTTTTCTCATGCGCACCTACAAAATCAGCCACCGAATACATAATAACTCAGTTGTCAAAGTACTAATAACTCAGCCACAAAATACCAAAAACCCAGCCACCATGCCACCATATAAACACTATCTCAGCCATCAAATAACCAATATCAAGAAACCCAGCCACTATGTACATACTAACTCAGCCATCAAAACTAATACCAAGAGGCTGAGATATTGTTTATATGGTGGCTGGTTTTTGGTGTTCATAAAACAACTAATAACTCAACCATAAAATACTAATAACTCAGACACTTTATACATGCTAACTCAGTCATCAAATAACTAATACCAAAAATCCCAGCCACTTAAGTACATAAGTACTTATAACCCAGCCAACAAATAAATAATAAATCAGTTGACACCTTACCTTGCCATGTTTTCTAATCTCCTCAGTAATGACAGTATCAAAACTTTAACGTGTACGCTTTCCACCCCATCGAAAAAGTGGAACTTCTTGCTCATTGACCACTCTCCCAAAACGCTATCCAAAAAAAATGACAGATTCATACGCCCAAACCAACAACACGTCCTTCAGACCGCTTATGGTGTATGTCCTTCCTTGTGGATTCAACATCTTAATAGAGTCAACAAGAACTTCATATGCAGTCCTCCCCCATGGACAGGGGCGGACCGAGAAATTTACAAAGTATGGGGCACACAATATAATTTGTATATAAATTAGGGGTATATAAATAAATTTAAGATTAATTATTAAAGAAAAAATAAAAATGAGTGTGGGGCCTATGCCACATCCTCTTCTTTGATGGGTCCGCCCCTGCCCATGGATACGTCATCATGGCTTCATCGTCGAATACTCTTTTTGCACTTTCAAACGGTATCCTAGAATTATGATGCAAAGCATAAAGTCCCATGGCTTGAAGAAGTAACAGCCATAACCATTTACGCTTTTCAAAACTCCAGGCCGGACATACCTCTAATGCTGCCCTCAGTTCATCTAACTTGGGTCCCACCCCAAGCGGCAGATCCAACTCCTCCCAAAACGCTTTGTATTGGTTATGTTCAAAACTTTCTGTTGGCACTGATAGGTTCATCACCAACTAGACCCCAAATCTCCTTCAAGTATACTCGAAGCTGTCGACATAGTAGATAGTGGACAGTCCTACCAGACCACACACTTTTGTGTTCAGCTAGCTTCACAATAATTCCAAGAGGACCCTGCCTCATGTGATCCCACACATCCCGTCCTATTGCTTCTCTGACGTTAGGGAAATCTCCCATCTGCAAATTGTGATTAATCTCTTTATTTTCTAGATTAGAAGTCCCTTCAGCGTGAAGTCGTGGAGGATAATCCCGTGCTTGATCTTCAGAAATAGCCATCTGATCCTAAAACACATATATAGATAAATCAGCAACAACATAATAAATAACCCAGCCACCATATCAATAACTCTGCCAAAACATAATCAATAACTCAGCCAAATCGTAAATAATAAATAACTCAGCCACAACATAATATATAACTCAGCCACAGTAATCAATAACTCAGCCAAAACATAATCAATACTCAGTCGGATCATAATCAATAACTCAGCCACTTCATAAATCAAACTCAAGTCAGCCACACTATACAATAACTCAGTAACAACATAATCTATAACTCAGACACGTCGTAAATCAAACTCAGGCACAACATTCCAGAGAAGATGTTGTCGTAGATACGATTACGTCGAAACTTTTGCGGAGAAGAGGATGTCGACGAAGATGATATCAGAGACAGTTAGGGTTTAACGAGGTCGACGAAGATGATTTACGATATCGGAAACACTGTTTGAAACGAGAGTATTAGTTGTGACGAAGATGATTTCGTGATTTCGTGATTTCGTAATCGGTTAGGGTTTAACGAAAGTTGTGACGGAGAAGAATGTGACATTAAGAATTTTTTTTTTGTTCACCGGAGATATGAGACTGTTGATTTTCCAGTGTAACTGTTGATGACACAAATTACTTAGTGACGTGGATTGTCAAAATTATGATGTGGATTTAATAATTAAAATTTGTATCAATAGTAACAAAATTAAACAAGGGTGTTTATTGTAATTTACTAGGAGTCTAAAAATATTCTAGTAATTTTTAGAAAATGTATACTATTCTAGTCATATACAAGCTTTTGTGTATCATTCTAGAAATTTTCTCTAAAAATATATCACAAAATAGTTCAAGAATGTTACAATGTGCATCATATAGCTTGCATAGTCCTCAATACATTTCTTTTGTCTAGATGTATATCCATGTGATGATCGTGTAGCTGGTAGTCATTTTCCTATTTATGTCTAATAACGTTGTTTGAATAAATCTACTTCAAACCATGTGGTGGTATATTTTTCATGTAGCTAACAAATATTTTTCCATAAAAGTAAGATTCAAGACACAAAGAAGAAGTATATTAGTCTTTTTCCGTACGAAACCCATAAGACGACCTACAATGAAGGTGTTGAAATCAAATTTCAACGGTTGATATGCTACAGTGAGATTGTTAAAAGTTTGTAGTATTTTTAGGTGGCTTTTAGAGTGTTGTAAAGTTTCAACCCGCTGATAAATTTTTTATGTTGTCTCGTTTAGCCAAATGGCGCAAATTGATTGAATAGAAATATCATGTATATTTGTTATATCCCCACCCAATAATTTGAACTCATTTTATTATATAATAAATATTTTAAAAACAGAAAAAGTATATCAAAATTCATAATTTTTAATATCTGTAAATAGAGACTACTCTCATTTAATTTGGATATTGAAGAGAAAATTCCATTTTTATTATAATCAACTATTTTAGTGTTTTAAATATTTTTTGTCAAATAGATCCTTGTAATAATATTTTCAACAGTCAAAATTCTTCTTATTAATAGTTATGTTATTTTAGTTTTTAAGTTAATTGAAATCAAACAATATTATTAATATATAATTATTATATTATAAAATTATGAATTAATAATTATTGGATAGGGAGTTGGATTTTCTTAAACAAACTATTGTAGATGTTAAAAATGAAGTAGATGTTGAATAAATTAGATGGAAGAGAGAGAATATGATGTGAAATGTAAAAAAAAAAAAATAGGTTATTGAAAATGAAATGAGTGTTCAAACCATTGTACATGGTCTAAAATTTAAATGTGTACCTTACATCTAATTAAATATTATGGATTACATATTTTATAAAATAAAAGCTAGACGTCCTCCTTCACTCCTTGACCAAGCAACGTTAGGGTAATACACCCGGAAAGTAATCCTCTCCACAAAATTTAGCCATATCAATTGTCAAATTGCTTTTTACGTGTCAGTAGAATGCTTAAATCAAGGATATTACTATAATAGAACTTTCAAATGGTATAAATACAACGCTAATGCATATCAATCCATTAAATTATTCTAATATTTAAAATCTTAGCTAAAGACATTCACATATCCAAAAAGAAGATGTCGTCGAGTCAAGAATTAAGCCACAAGGCTGGAGAAGCCACCGGTCAAGTTCAGGTACATACATAAACATACATTTTCGAAGAATATTGTATATACACACAAAATCTAACATATATAAAATGAAAATCAATAATAAGATATCATGACACATGGGCCTTTTGATATCGTATTATGTATTTTCATATGTATTTAATATATAAAGCTTTTTAATATTTACTTCCAATGTTGACCAAATATATTTGAAACCTGAAGACTATAGTTTCATTTGCATATGATTTAGACCAGGACGGAAGTGCACTTTATATTTTTATTTTTGTTTCTTAAAGAGAAATTGCATTGTATACACACCAATAATCAACAAATTAGATGTATACACTAACTACTTTTTTTTTTAATTCCTAAAGTATCTTCTCTTCTTTTTTTGTCACGGTTCCTCCTCCTCCTTCTCCTCCTCTCCAACCCCTCATTCTTCTCCTCTCCAACCCCTCCTCCTCCTCCTTCCCCTCCCCTCCTCCTCCCCCCCCTCCTCCTCTTCGTCCCCCTCCTCCTCTTATCATCTATCACACACATAAAACAACTATTCAAATTTAGACCAATCTTTTATCAAA